CTGGCCAGAAGTTCGATGGCAAATCCTCCCTCTTCAAGTTGGCGATCCAACGACCAACCCGTCCGTGGAGGATCAGGAATCAGAAAGGAGGAATAACAGATTTTTTCACTTTTACCCGATGTATTCCAGCATCCAGCTGCCATGCACGTGGGGATTGTCAGTTTCACTATAGCTCTGGTGAATTTCAATGGTGAAGTCCTCTGGAAATCTTCAATAATTGTTGTTGAAGTTCAGTTTAATATAATCCAGTCAGTGAATCGTTCCGTCTTAAATGAATGAAAATAGTTGTTTTAATGGTTATAGAGTCAGATATGTGGCGGTAATGTTTGGTTTATCTAAAGGTTTTTATCTGTTATGGTAAATGGGTTTGGCTGTAATTTAAGGACAGATTCTAATACATCTGCAGGGTGGGGACTATAAATCTGATAGGAGTTTAATTTTTTTATCGCTGTTTTGCAAAATTTGCATAACTAAATATTTTTTGTTGTTGAACATAAGAGATTTTGCAGATATATTTTTTTATACATACATTTAGATTTACTTATATATTTCTACCCCTTTCATAGAATAGAAAATGTCTTTATTTTCCCACAATGGGCAGATTTACAGCAGCTAATGTGGACCTTAGAAAAATTTATGAGAATAACATAATAGGGAAGAGTCAAAATATAAACAATAAAATACTGTAAAATGTTTTAACAATATAAAACTGGAGAATAAATAACCAATATGCAGCTATGGACATTTTTACAGTAATGGATATTTGAAAATAGCAGCAACATCAGAGATGTGCAGAATGACAGCAGCAGGTTATTTAACTGACTAAGGTTTTTTATCATTACATTTGATTTGATTTGTTCCTGCTCCCGGTGGTTGGAACCTTTATTCCACTCTGGATTCTCATGAGTGTAGACTTTGTTAACTTTACAATAAAAAAAAAAAATGTTTTAAATAAAAAGAAAGTTTTGAAAAGTTCGATATTCATCTTATCCTGCTTTGTGTGTCAACTGTCACGGTTGCTAAGCGACAGAGCGTATGGCGGTAAAAGCCATCGAAGGGTAGACCTGTTCGAATCCACAGCCAAAAATCTTCCTGTCTCCTTATTTTCAAGGACTTCAAAGGATCGATTCCAGGTAGAGTGCGTCCTTGAAGAATGCAGACCATGAATTTAAACGCAGCCTTTGTTCTGTTTGGCATATATACTCCTCCTCTTCAGTTACTGTTTGCTGGTTTCTCCTTGTTTCTTTGCTCCTCCTGATGTCTTTTGGTTTTCTGTATTTGCTTTGGACATCTGATACCTTTGGAACTGCATTAAATCAGCAAAAACTCATCTCTGCCTCCTTCATCCTCTGCATTTAGGTCCTCCAAAACCTCCACACAACCTGACACTCCTTATATCTGCACCTGTAGAATCAGGTTGTTGAAACAGTTTAACGCCAATAAAACATCAACTGCTCTATATGAATTTCATACCTAACATTAAAGCTGTTAAATTACTTAATAATTACCTAAACCTTCAGATCTTTAAGTGTTGAGTGAGTCTATGGGGCATAAAATCAACTTTATTATTTGTATCTTTTTCTTGGTTTTTGTTACATTCATCCATCCATTTTCCATGATGCTTAGGACAAACAACCATTCACTCACACCTAAGGAGAAATTAGAGAAGCCAGCTAACCTAACAGTCATGTTTTTGGACTGTAGGAGGAAGCTGGAGTACCTGGAGAGAACCCACACATTCTCAGGGAGAACATGCAAACTCCATGCAGAGAATCAAACCCACAACCTTTTTTCTGCAAGGCAGCAGTGCTACCTTTGTTACATTCAGATTATTTTAATTATTTTATTATTTTCATTGCTTATTCTAAAGCTTTCATAACACTTAGTGCCAATCTTCATCCATGGAAATCAAATATTTGCTGTTAATTTGAGCATCATGAATCAAAGGAATCACTGTCGGCATATTAATATTTAATACGGAACATATTTTCCTGTATTTTAGAGCAAACTGTGCATGCACATTGGTTTGAAAACCAACCGACCCATTTCCAGCTGTATTAATCCAATATAAAGCAGAAGTATCATCTCCAAATAATGTGATGGTTTTAGATTTACTTTAAAAATTAGTATATCGTTTATGTAAAATATTCAACGTTTCAGCCCAAGCAGAGAAGCGTGTGGTAGATCAAAGGTGAAACCATTGGATGCTTGAGGAGAATCACCCTGAGATAAACAATCACATCAATCTTCTGCTAAATGAAACAGAAGCAAACTAATTCTGTTTTCCAGTGTGACGCTGTGTGTTGGGTTTGAAACCAGGGAGGAGTCTGCTGACCTGCTGACCACTGGAGACACTTTAACCTCACTATAAGACTGAAAATGACACTATAACAGGCTTCCATTCAGAATACACACAAATTGAAACATTGCATAAGTAAATAACATTGAAGAAATAAAAGTC